TAGAAGGACAATGAAATCTTCATGACTAAACAACGCAGCTCAGAGAACACAATACAACAAAGAACGCAAACAACAATACTCATGAAAATATTTATTATGTAGAACACAGGAAGATCAATTCAAATCGAAAATGTTTGAGACAAATTGACATGAAAGTTACTGATGTTCGTGATTTCTAGATGTTTTGAACAGTTGACGACGTTAGGACCAAGGTAATGAAAGGAATTCGAGAAAGTTTTTTTATTTATACTTAGTTCTGCCTTCAATTTATTGACTGTCAAACTTCTATGACATGTAATTGATGGAGACCGAAACCTTTGGAAAGGCTTGGCCAAACATTATACATAATATCGAATGAGTTATTCAATGATGAAGTGAAGTTTAAACCTGACTAGCAGTTGGGTCTCCTAGTTGAGTTGACATAGCTCTGGGCTGGTAACCCACAGGCAGCTGATTTGACTTCTGTCTGGACTAATATTTTTATTTCACCTGAGTATTTCAGATATGACTGTACAGATCTTGAGATTGCAGGTCATTCAGATGGATATCCTTGAGTGAAATGGAAGCATACAAATCAGAATAAAAAATTTCCTCACTGTATTATAGTCTATTTAATGGCCAGCAGTGGGATCGAGGTTGCGCATTTCCTCCTACATGAGACTAACTGGATGATTGGTGTTACAATCACCAAAAAGAATGCTACCATGGAAAGCTACCAGAACGGGCAGCTAGAAGGTTGGACAGAACGCTCTGAAGCACATTCCAAATGACCCTCAGCAGCGCTTTAGTTTCCAAACATCCGACCTGGACGTGAATGTCACATACATGTCGGTCCTCCAACTCTCCTTGATGCTAAAAAGGCTGTATGGAACCTGAAACGATACGAAGCAGCAGAAACTGGAGTTTTGTTACGTGAAGTTCTCGAGAATAGGTGTAGAAAATTTCCAGTTCAAGTGATGGAGGTATGCGTAGTGTATAAGAATCAGAGAGGGTTTTGACAGAATAGTCGACTTCTAGTCTATGAAAAGGAGGAGAAACCTTCTTTTGACAAGAGGAATTATTTTGACTGGTATTATGTCCAAGATCCTAGAGTCCAAAGCTATGCGACGCCTGAGTGGAGCCTGGGAACAGCAAACTCGAGAAAACCAGATAGGTTTCAGGCAGAGCTGGACGACAGTGCATGGATCATATTTTCACCCTCCTACAGGTTCCAGAACACAGGCATAGCAACTGGCCAATGACCAACTCTTGCCATATTTGTAGATCTGAAGACGACATTTAATTCAGTCAACCGTGAGGTGTTGTGATACTACCGAAAAAGTACATAAACGTAACCAAAACTCGTTACTCAAACTTACACAGCTGTCTGAGGGCCTATGAAGAATTGTTGTCAAGACTGACTGTATCTGACTATTTGTCCAAGGTTATCAAGCAACTTGTTTGTTTAAGAGCACTATTCGGTATCTCTGTCGCGGATTGGTTTCACTGGAAAATTACTGCTCACATAGAAATTGATATAAACTAACTTCTGGAAGTAGCTGAGCAGGGTGTATAGACATGGAATACTGGAGAACGAAAGAAGGTTATAGCCAAGATGATTATCTTTTCAGTGACTCATCTTCATAACTTTACATTTCTCAATGTGTTAATGAGACTATAGAATGTTTCAGACAAGTTTTCGGCCAAAGTTGAAGCTTAATCGATAGAAGGAATAAAATGATATTGCCTAACAAAAGACGTGGTCTCTAATAGCTTTAATAAAATGCATTGAAGTGGAGGACTTGGCAACCGGTTAAAATAAACAGACAAATAAAATATAAAATGAAGTGTAGACTAAGATCCAGAGTGTCTGATGAAGACCACAGTGAGGAGAGTCTTTGTACACGTTTCTTTTAAATATAAAAACGAGATTTGATACTTTGAATTACCAACACTTCAGATGTACATAAGTGTCTAATCCTTACCACGTTTTGATTGGTTCAGTAGAATTATGGAGGGACTTTGAACTAGATTTCCAAAAGAGTCACTTCCTCAGAGTCTATGAGATGTTCATTGATGGGGTTGGAGATATCTTTCTGCTTAACCTTCAGCACATTTTTCAAGAGATCTCATTGTACACCCAATGTACTCAGCTCCACAGTAGCAAGTGAACTTATAAATGAATATTTATGAGACCTTATGTGTCATCAACTTGTCTTTAACGCACTGAGAAACCAGCTATCGACAAGAGAAGGGAATATAGAGGTTGGCAGGACGGAATGTTCTACTTAGGGACTTCAAGCGCCACCGAGAAAAGATGTTCTCAGCAATATCGCTTTTGAATCTGAGATTCAAGAAAAATATTTCCACAGTCTTATTTTCCTCTATATTTTTCTTACAAATCTAGGTGAGTAGCTATTCTCTAACAGCATTCCTCCAAGGGTTTCTAATCCCTATTCCTGATCAGAATGAGCGCCCAACATTGAAAGTTGGTCACTTGCTCATCCTAAGTGGGTTTCTTATAGATGAATCTTAGAATGGATTTATCAAACTCCCTGTGGAGTCAAGAAAATAAGAACGTCAGTTTGTAGTGAAAGGGTGACTGACGGTTAGTTGTCTTTGGTTGTGGCGCGGACTACATCCGGATCATCACCAGTTGGATAGAATTTACATACTGCATGCATACTGATAGGATACGCACATGTATACATACACACATATACTTGTATATGCATATATATGTCACGCTGACGTATATATATACGTATACGCTTACTTATTTACTTGCAATTGAGGATGATACAGATATGCTGATCACAGTATCCTCCGTGTGACCAAAACATTAAAAATAACGGATAGAAGGCGTATAGTTTGTGGGTGCTTGTGATAGTCAATTTTGCCGTAAGGTTATGCAAATACTCCTCAGTGTTTCATTTATTTATGGTTTTTAGTGCTGCCAGTTCTTGTTGTTCAATTCTACAGTAATGAGGATCTCATTTGCTATCTTTGTTGCCAAACAACGTATCAGAATACCATCCGGTATCTTTTTCATAAAGGATTATTGCCGTCTTGTAATCTGTACTTCATAAGCAGTAATATGATTGCTTAGTTCCCGTAATATTTTCGTCACATATATATTTAGTATGTATCTATACATAAATGATATTCTTTACGTATATATCATGGCTGAATACAGAGGAAGTGAATCACTTTGGAGCAACGTTAAACATCACCCTAACAGCAGTCAAAATAACCAAGTAGGTATATTCATTTATGAAAATCTGCCTTTTCAACTGAAATGAAGCAGCCTATTTCGTCATTTCGATTGTTTCTTGGCTGGCTTTTAAAGTCTTCCATCACAATATGCTCCTCTTTTTCAAATTATACTGGTATCAATCTTCTGAAGTCATTCATGTGCACAGAATTCATGATATCTAAAGTGATTATTTCAGGAAGTAGGTTCAATTTTTCAAAAAGATGAATCGATACTTTTAATCTAGAGACTAATAATGAGCAAGAAAGTCAGGTGACCGAGTGGATCTCCGGAATAAAAGATAATTAAAGAACGATATGCAGCTGTGAATATACTCCAATCGTACAGGAATAATGACTATTCATTCAGCCAACCTGTGTTTCATTAAGTCGCGAAAACATCATAAGATGAAGGCTGACATGTGACTATGAAAACGATTTGTATTAGATGAAATGCATCATATACATATAAATAGTGTATCCCTATTGGTTAGCTAAAACACCAATCAGATCACTAAGGTCATTCTGATCATACAGTATAGATGAGTAATTGAAGGACAAAAAGTTTTATTTCATTGGCTGATGGAGTAAAATATTAATTTCTAATCTGACCACTTCCTGTCGGAATGGAAAGTACATGGAAAGTCACAGCTAAAATACTCCTTATGGATCTGGCAGCTGTCAGAGAGACCGATAAAATTAATGTAGAACCTTGCACACATGTGCGTTGGTTCAAGTTACCACTCTGTACAATAGCATGCAAAGAACAAGTGAGTAGAGGAAGACTTGTATCAAAGTAGACAGAAGTCCATGCGAGGAGAGAAAATTTGCAAAAATGAAGGTAAATGAAAGTGTTTAAACTGTAGAAAAGGTCAAAGAGTAAATAAATCTGCTCAACTTTGGTCACTTTTCAGCTACACCACCAAGATTCGTCAACCATTGATTACTACCGTCCCGGCGATCACAGCTAGGCAGTCTACATTTCCACAAATGTATAAGACTAACAGTCAAGAGCTTCATTGATCGATATTACGACTTGTTCGTTTGGTTATTCTGAACCCTCTTCCAACCTAATCCAATTTCCCCAAGCTTTGCACGTCATGGTAGGCGATGGCTCAGCATGCGCAACACATATACAAGTCACCTCAGTTTATGAAAGTTCATAATCGTATGAATCGACTTGCTTGTCTTGCCTTGTAATTTTCATCTGATGTCTACATTGCTCACATAGACGTTCTACCATAAGTTAGCAATGCTACAAGTCTAACAGCATAATTGATAACGGTATTGTTGAGAGATTTTGTCTCTAGAAGATATTAACGACTAGTATTGAACTATAGTTTGTTACTTTTCGTTTATGACCACAGTACTGAAGTATATATTCCCAACAATTTAATGGATTGAAGTGTAGATAGAGGTTTCACTTAGGCGTTGACGCATCCATAAGTACATAGAAGACATTTATTTCGTATACATGGGCGGTATGTTTCGTACCTTTCCTCTTCATGTGGAACTACTTGTGTTGATTATCTGCCTAACGGATATGAACTTTCGAATCTCGTCTATACCATTATTTCCTAGACCAGTCTGACTCACTTCATTAGGGAACTGTGTGAATTTTCATATAATGAGCTTCAGATATTCGCACTCACCAACAGACAAAAAAGGCGACACCTTTTTATTAATAACATTTTAATAACAAATCACAAGGAAAGAATCGTAGCATATCTGGTTTATATATTATAATAATAATAATAATAACTGAAGCCAATTGCCTTTTCAGTCTGTTCGCACGTTTAAGAACAATTGCATGAAATTTTCACAATATGTTTCTTATTACTAATATGGTCATTTCAGTAGTATGAATATAAAAATACTAAATACACAAACTGTATACACATGATTATCATTCACGGTGGACGATTGTATACAGAGTCCATACTACTAAAATTCTGACTAAAATACGAAGATGGAGGAAAGTGAGGTGTTAATAGTGGAGGCGGAGAGGGGGAGGATGAAAATAAGAAACTTGAAGTTGAATTGAGTATCTTAACACTTGTGTGATTCAATAAATTGACTAAATTATTGCTGTCATCAATATTAGCAGTACTATTTACATGAGTTAGTCGATGAAAGTGCTCCAAGACATCAGTTGACATCACTTCTTCAAGTGGGTCAGTTAAATTAGACAGGTTCCTGGACAATTTTGATACTTGTTGACCTACATCTAAATCTGTAATATTCAAAATGGAGCCAGTAGAAGCAGATGAAAGGAAACCTGTCGTTGATGATGTTGTTGTACCAGGCATATTTTGAGGTTCTGTTGCTGAACGTATGATATATGCAAATATTAAACCCAGTATAGTCAGTATTGCTCCCATTGTAACTATTCGCGCTAACCGATGATTTTCAATCAGATTTGAATAAGCTTCATCTTCTTCATCTGAGTTTGTACAACATGTACAACATAATAAATCAACAATAATCGATCGATCTACTGACGTTGACATTGTATTATTACCACTTGCTAGTGTAGCGTTTAACTGACTACCACTTTTATTCAAGTGTATATTGGACATTGTACCTATTGAACTGTTATTCCTACTTTGACGATGATGATTACCACTCATTAAGGTGTTTAAAATACCACGTTCTATTAAACGTTGATTTGATGTGTCATTAGCTCGTATTGACTCATCAAAACTTTTATGATGTTGATAACTAGACGGTGGAGATTTTAAATAATTATCTACTAATTGTTCAGTGTTCAATATATTCTCAGTAATCTGACTATTATTACGCTTAATAGTAATATGATTTGACCATTTTCTACGTGGTATACTATGTGAATTTAATGTAAACTGTGAAACATATTGATCATCCGGATATTGTGGAGATGGTGAGGAAGCTGTAGATTGTGGAGTGAAACCCAGATTATTACTAATTTGTGAAAAAATCATAGCAAGTGATTTACGTGGTTGTGTTAATATCGATGAACTACGGTGTTTTTCAATTGATTTCTGTAATGGTAGTTGGTATTGGCTTTCATGAAGATGATGATGTTGTTGATAATAGGGTTGTTCAGTGGTTATATCTGTTATGTTAGACATTCTAGAGCTGGTGTATTGGTCAGTATTCGATTGTGATTTCAGCGGTAACACAGGGCTACTATTATTCTTAGTATCATTTTTATTGAGATCTGTACTGCTTGCCTTTTTCTCTTGTTTCTTTTCGCCTTGAATATCTTCATCCTTTTTCTTGGATTCAAGATTTTTGGAGACAGTCTAAAATGTCAAAAGGAGGACTGATTAATTCTTCTTTCTGAAGGTTTGTGGAGATTTATTAATTGATTTTCGGTTGGAATTCATCATGGAATAACATTAGTTGGAGGAATATTAGAAACCTGAGAGCACTGGGCAGCCGGTTCGTCTGATTAGTACAGGACTTCTCAGCTGTGCACACCTATGACCCCGCCAAGGGTTGAACCCAAACCTTAGAACCTGAAGGTCCTGGATTCAATCCCTGTAGGCCGAATAGTTAACTTTTTACAAGGAGTCTAAATGTCCTCTTTTTTAAATCATCTTTTCATGAAATTAAATCATAATTTGCTTTATTGCTTCTTGTAATTTCTTTATATATCCTGTATATTCATTAGGGGTCTGAGTGGAAACACCATCACCCATAAGGATCTATGCAGATCCAGCTGATGAATCCTGGATGGATGTTTAAATCCCATTGCTATCCATTAAAAAGCCATTCAATAGTTATCCACTTTATTTATCTTTCAATACTATATAACAATATTTATACTTCATATTCAGTGGAGGTGAACGTGCAGAAATTTATCCTCTTGATCAAGATACTGACCTACAACTTATGCATTGATGTCTGTCAGTCGAAGTTCTAACCTTTTTTTTACAAATTTGTTTAGGGATCAGCATTGCTTTTTTGTATGCAAAACATTTGAAAAGTCCTAGAGGATAGTGTTCTATGTATCACAGATTCTTGTGACAAGTTTTCGGTTGTTCATTGGCATTTAGTCAACATTAATTAAATTCCTTATAAAGTAATGAGTTTTTTCAACATTTTGAGGAAGTAAAGAGCTCAGATGAGAAGCGTTATCCTACTGTCCGGTCAGCTTAATCGACTATTGGAAGGTATGAACATGAATCTCAGGTACATATTATTGGTTTTATTAGTTCATATATTTTAAAAGGCGTTTTTACTTACGAATTAATTCTTTAATAGTATTGTATACCTCGCTCCAAGTGTTTTCGATTGATGTCTCACTAATTTATTATTTGACTTATATTTAATGCTTGAGATCGGTTGTCTAATCTTCATAAATTGTAGTGAGATGTGGTCGGGTCATTTAGTTATATGCATAGATGAACCACATAGCCGAAAATGGATACGGACCATCAGCAACAGACTTCCTGTTCTATTGTACGTTGTTGCATGGGAGGGTTAAAGTACATGACTCATCATGTGGATGAATCAGGAGGCATACGAGATGGGGTAAGTAGAGTTGAAACTAATGATGCACAGGGTTAACGTTAAGACTGAATCAGTACAACCAGGCCAACATGAATATCATTTCTAACGAGGCACAGAATATTTTTTATTGTCTGGTGTTAATGTAAATGCCAGAATTTATAGTCATTAGATTCTTATTACGTTTTACTTAATTCCATCGATGAAGTGGAAACAGCCTATCACACTGGAAGTAAGTCAGTCCAACAGGATTTCAATCGTGATGCGAACAACTTAGTGACCATATCACCGACTACATCTCTGTGTGGTGTGCGTTCAAATCTCACAACAGATATCAAGTTAACTGGAGATTCTTCTCGCTGATGGGTGCCAAACAAGCATGAAATTTAGGTGATACCTAGGGCTTCCTGCCAACTGCCTCTAACCATCTCCATGTTTACATGACAATTCTGCTAAAATTTTCTATGAAAGTTCCAGGTGTCTGAATTACTTATCTAAGATGATGAGTCTGTCAGAAGACCCATAGTTGAATACTAAATGTTTCATTGTCATTCCATACAACGTCATCAGCATAAACTTTTTTCCTCCAAACCGTTTTGAATACACTAATTAATGACTAGGTTAGATTCAATGTATCAACAAGATCATTATTTGTCGAGATGGTTGATTTAGATCACAAAAGCTCTAGAATAGTATTGATGGTATAAGTGTAAAACTTACTGGATGACGTTTCCAGCATAAATTATCGTTGTTCATAATCATATCATTGTGGAATCACTATTTTCGACATCTGATTTTTATAGTTATGTCACATTTAATTTTTGTTTCTACTAACAGTGAAGTTTTTCATATTTCTGGTGTAGATTAGCGTTGCATTATTTCTATTACATGTGTGTTGGGTGGATGTTGATTCAATGAACAACGATTCAGTAACCAATCTCTCTTTCTACCTATTTATATTGGACTTAAATACAGTGATTTTGTCCCATCCACCCTATTGTATGGTTGTATGTTAATGCATGTATTGAAATAGCCGAGTATTTTTCTAGATCTTATTCAGGTCTGTCATTCCATATTTAACTGATGCTGACTAGCTAGTTTCATCTATTTACTTGACCATGAAGTCCTTACATGGAATTTGATAGATTAGATTGTTTTGCTTAATTGGTTCTATGGGATCGTTAAGCCAAGCGACATACCTTATATCTGAGTGAGTTTGTAGGTTTAAATACCACCCTAATTCCAGCTTTGTTGAGGATTTTACGTAAAGTTTCTGATGTACCTTTCATATAGGGTAAGAAAATGGAGGCTGTAAACTCCTTTCTACTCGTGTTGTCGTTATTATTCGTACTCCTGTTCCTGTTATCATCTTTTTTCTTGTGTGTTCGCACGAATTTCTTAATGAACTGCAGACGATAATTATTAATTATTAGCGCTTCTTTCGTGTGCTTCAGTTCCTTGTATAGGTCCTTGCACTGACTAGTCAGTTTTGTAACTCTATCATTTAGACATTTGATTAAACCTGGCTTAACTGACATTGGATGGGATGACCTGAAGTCTAGGCATCTGTTGGAATGTGTCGGTCCAAACCACTGTCTGTTCTTCGGTTTATCCTGCAATCCAACACAGGTAATTCTCCTTGTTTATTTCCTGCCTCCTCGTAACTGAATTCGATTGCGTCCACTACTGAGTTGATGTTATATATGAGGAAATTGTCGATCTGTCCCGATTTCAACATAGTAGTAAATGTGTCATCCACATTTCACCACCATATCTCAGGTGCAGGATTAAATCTTCGTAAAGGCATCTTTTCCCAACTATCCATGAATATATGTGCTACGATCGGAGATATTGGTGATCCCATTGCCACTCCTTCTGTTTGTCTGTATATTATGTCCTAAAACTTGAAGACTGTGGAGGTCAGACACAACTGTACGCCTAATATGACCTCATCAACCGATATCTTAGTTCTATGAGTAAGTTCTGAATCAGTATTGAGTTAACTTCTGACTGCTTCCAGTGCCATATTTATTGGTATTTTAGTATAAAGACTTGTTACATCTAAGCTAACCATTTTTTTCATCCACTTTAATGTAGGTCATTAAGCCTTAGTTTTAACTCGTAAGAGTTTACTAGTCTGGAATTTGAACGGTTCCTAACAGGACATATTATTGATGATAAGTACTTTGCTAGATCCTATGTTGAGGTATTTCTGAAGTCAGCTATGAATCTAATGGGATGATCTGGTTTATGAAAGGACTATAAAAATCAGATAACCAGAGTAGTGTGAATACATGTTGATATGAGCATGAGTAGCTATAACGTCATAAAATAAATAATATCGTATCGCTGTGTGTTATAAATCAAATAAACAAATCCAATATAGTGTTAATGATGTCTGATTCCTGAATAACTTTCAACTATTTTAGGTATCATAGTAACAGACTAGATTTTTCAGCAGTTAAAGGGTTTTATGGGGAAATTTGCTTTATGAACTCTTACATCTTACCTATTCTCCTCTGTCGTTTTCCTTTGATTGTTTAATAGGTTGCTGAAGTGTAATGCATAGATCTTCGAAGATCATCACCAGAATTACTGCTGTACCCATAAACCTTATAATTGAGAAACTATTGTACACAAACATCTAACAGGCGTCACTTCATCACATCATCAACAACCTATCCACTCAAAACTCCAAGTGTCAGTCACCAAGAAAGATCACGAACAAGTGTATACCACGTTATGCACATTCCACTACCAAATATACACACTCCACCATACCTCATTTAGCTCACATCCTGTACGAGGGACAAAGTCTCAGAAATCAACTAATACTAACTAATCGAATAACCAACTTCTCACTTTCGAAGACAAACAAACCCATTGAAGAGTACACAATATGCTGTTATCTATGTATTCTGGTGGATCTGACTGTTAAGTGTGCCTGTCTACCTAAGTCAACTCTCCACCTTGAAGAAGGTTGTATATGGAATGAATATTCTTGACCTCTTTTTGTATATAGTTTGTATTCACTTTGCTTTATTATGTATACAACAAATAGACTATTTCTATCTAACTGATGCCTAATAACTAGGCATTTCCAGTTTCAAACCAATACTGTGTCTGCAGAAAGTACGTCTTACCGTTTTGTTTCACCATAGTCACCATAAAACCCTGACAGTTCTAACAGAAATCTTGCATTACCTAATTCTACTTTTCATCTTTGTTATCCCTCGTTCATTTTTCTGCTATAAACCTTTATCTCTATTGCATAGCTTCTTTTTGTTATTGAATATACTTTGTCCTTTGGGTTCCTAGTGGAGCATAAGGCTTCAGTAGCATATAGCCATTTCACTCTATTCTCTTCAGTCTTTTAAACCTAGCTCCACGACTGCTCACAAGCTGTCATTTCTTCCTCACACCATCTCCTCCATGTCACCCTCACCTCGGATACCCAACTCGTCCTTTCCTCTTCAAATCCCACTCGAGGGCCTGGCCTGACACGTGATGTCCCCAATCGACCTTCTCAGTGTATGCCCAATCCATCGCCACTCTCTTCTTCTGCATATTTGTTGGTTGATAGGTTTTTGGTTGGTTCGTTCCCAGAGTTCCTCCTTGCTTATTCTTTCTCGCCTTCTCATCTCATCTTCAGTATCGAGTGGGCGTGGATGGCACCTGTTGATGAATATCTGTAGTTTGTTCGCAATGCTTTTGTAACGTGCCAAGTCTCTCAACCATCACATAGAATCACTGACTCACTTGACTGACATAGTGTTGAAAATCCTGCTCTTGTTGTTTATGCTGAGTGCAGTGCAGTGCAGTAGATCTCCACACTGATTTCAGATTACTGGAGGCCTGTCTTGGTGTCTTTCCTATGCTGGTTTTGACATCCTCATCTGTGTCGTCGCAGCCACCTGTATTTGAAAGGATGCTGCCTAGGTAGGTGGGTAGGTGAAAGAGACAACTTGCCTTAGATTTCTCACGTTGATGGTGATTTCTGCTTGTTTTTGTTGTTGTTGTTGGTTGGGTGTGTTCATCACCTATGCCTTCTCTACGCTCACCTGAAGGAAGTCTCGCCTTCGCCGCCCTGCCTCTTCTGTCTTATTATTAGTTTTCGCCCATAGATCTTCGAGTTTGTGTGAGAAGACATTAGACATAAATCATCATGGAGGAAGTCCAAATCTTTTGGAGTTCTTTCATCGATCAAACAGCGTATTCCCATCTTCTCGCTCCTCACAGTTGTTTGTTGCACGATCCAGTCCTTGTTGGAAATAGTTCCAGAATATACATATACATTTATAAACGTACCACTTGAAAGATGAATTAGTTGAAAGGAAAACTCAGCCTTCTGTGCAATTATTTTCATGTCTTTCAATTCGATATTAAAGTTTTCAAAACATCAGAAAAGTAACCATGTAATTCCTTCAGTAATCTACTGTCGAACATAAAGTTGCCAGGTTACTGTCACTTATAGTTGTAGATACTTTCATACTTTGGAAATAAGATCGTTGTTGCTATGTGGTGAAGGTAATCTTTCTACCTCTTGTTGTTTCTTTAGTTGTATCTTTATTATACTTGACTATATATCTGTTTATGGAGGTTTTCATCTTCTCTTTTGCATGCTTAGGGATTGATTACAACACAGGAGACGACTACTTCGGCCTAGAGTAAACACACATTAGAATCCTTGTACGTGAAAATGGTGATAAGACGCCGAATCTTCGAGAATGATTGAGTGACTAACTGTGAATGTTTGAGATGTTTTTCTCACCCCGTAAATGAAATCTACTGAAAGAGTAGTGTCGATTGAAAATGGTTAAATTTGCCAGGGATACAAAAGTTTCAACTTGCTTCTGTCAATCCATCATCAGTTTACTGTTGTCAAGGAGCAAATATACAGCGCTGTGTTTTTACTGCATAGCCGTGAAGTATGGTTATCAAAGTGTTTTAGCCACAGGTATTCAAACACTGTGTCCTTTGAGAGATTGTTGGTGTGTTATGAAATTCTTCAGAAGTATGCACTTATATCATACTAGAATGCAATGTTTTTCAATGGTTTTCCGTCATGAATACTACTGTAAAATAAATTAAATCCCCATAAACTTTTGAAAAAGGCTTACCTGTTCTATTGGTTTCTCTACAAGTGTTGATTTCTGGTCATATTGAGTATTATTCATATTAGTAGCAACATTATCATCGTCATCGTCTTCATCATCGTCTGTTATTACTCCCCAACCTGGGAATCTAGCTGAAAGACTTAATTTCAGCTTATTAACTCGTCTCTTTTCATTGTTTATTTGTCTTGTTTCATCAATTGATTCACGATTCAATTGACTGTCTGTATCATCATTGAGTATTGAGCATAATGAATGATTATCATTATTTAATTGTTCATTGATTGGTTCAATAAATGCAACTCTTGGCTTAAAATTTCTATTGGTTATCTCATTCATTACTAATAATTCTGTGGGATTATTAATTGAAGTCGTTGTAGAGTTGTTTGGTAAGGGTATTCGTGATTCTACGGTTACTAATGTTTCTTTCATAGATTGTTGTTGTGATAGAGATGTCGAAGGTGGAAATATTTTATGATTCTTATTCATTGATGAGTTACTATCACCAGTATTATTATTGATAGTTAATGTGTTAGTATAATGGTGATTGTTCCTAGAATTCATGTAAAGATTTGTAGATTTTAAGTCAATGAATTCATTTGAAATAATCTCTGTCTCATTAATTGATAATATGGATATCGAAGAAGAACTATCATGTCGCCTAATACTGTCATCAATCTGTTGTGATTGTGATAATGATGATAAATTCTTTTTTTGTTGTTGAAGAGGATGATAATGATAATGATGATGATGATGGTGTAGATACACAGATGTAGGTGGTGGTAGCGATTCAGGAATTCTTACAAATGGAGGTGGTTTGGCGCGAATTTGTGAATCCAATGCAGAGAATGGTAATTTTACACCAAGCTAAATTCAATCAATAAAGTCAATACAATGATAACTTATAAATAAGTACCTAGAATTAAGGAAGCATAACAACATATTTAGTTTCTTTGATAAACTTGAAAAAAAGTTAAAACAAAAACTTTTGCCGAATAAAATGTGAGCTCATTTCATTTCACAGCCTTTCATCAGCTGTCAGAAATAACAATAAGCCTGTAGTTAATGAGTTGAGGAAACACAGAACTAACAATCATAAATCGATATCTGATTAGACATATGGAAAAACTGAAAAGCCGTCAGGTTGAGTAGATAACAGTAAGTTTATGAAAGGTAGAAAAGTCGATCTACCAACGCAATCACCAGGCACCTGATGGAAACAGATGTTTCTCAATCCTTCAGGACAATCAACAAACACAGGAAGGTCATGGTTTGTTGAAGCTGTCGCCATTAAACGTTTTCAACCTGACCTTTGCTCTCATAAAGACACTCTAATTAACCTATCTTTACCCTGCTAACTCTTTACAGTTTTTTGCACATGTATTTATGTAATTTTCATTATTTGATTACATAGTCTCTTTATTAATTACTTACTGACTGTTAGTCACTCAACCTGAAGGTTTTTCAGTTTTTCTTACAGTTACGTAACACACAAGCACCCTAAACAACCCCTTCTTTTACACTTAACTCTGTTATCTCACACCCCCTTTTCAACAACTGTAGAAATTTCTCTCTCGTTGGATATTAATTACCACTGACTTAACTACGCTTTGTGATGATTGATCCTGTATCTCCTTGAATCACACAAAACCACCTTATTGTAATACTTGTATGTCCAATCCCCATTTATTTCTGTACATTTAAGGTACGTAATGTCGTCATCATCATCATTACTACTACTACTACTACTACTACTACTACTACTACTACTACTACTACTACTACTACTACTACTACTACTACTACACTCACACTACTACTACTACTACTACTACTACTCACACTACTACTACTACTACTACTCACACTACTACTACTACTACTACTACTACTACTACTCACACTACTACTACTACTACTACTACTACTACTCACACTACTACTACTACTACTACTATTTCATATGAGTTGTAGGCTGTTTGTGGCTGATTAATTTCCGTTCAATAAACTGAGCTTACGTTTTATTTTTCAAATGTCTATTTTCTAGCATTATTAAGGGAAGGAGGTTTTGTAGTAAAAATCCCCTTGGTAAAAACTTATTCCACACTAATAATATTAACTTATGAAAGTAGGGTATAACACAATCCTCAGTGTGTTTAAGTAACTCAGAACAGGATATTTTTGCAGTGTTTCGTCAAAGCTTCATCAGCAGAATATTTGTAGCCTTTCAAAGGGGTAAGACTATGGTTCAAGACAGGTGTTTTATGGTACTTACAACTTTTCAACTGGTTTTGCCTATCTGACACTGAATAGTTGTTAATACCGAGAAGCAGACAATAATAATATTGGTAATAATAGTACTGGCTTTATTCTGAAAGGTATTTCGGGAATATTCTACAAAATTTTCACTGTCATTGGGCATCAATTGGATAGAAATAGTCTATTTGTTGTATACATAATAAAGCAAAGTGAATACAAACTATATACAAAAAGAGGTCAAGAATATTCATTCCATATACAACCTTCTTCAAGGTGGAGAGTTGACTTAGGTAGACAGGCACACTTAACAGTCAGATCCACCAGAATACATAGATAACAGCATATTGTGTACTCTTCAATGGGTTTGTTTGTCTTCGAAAGTGAGAAGTTGGTTATTCGATTAGTTAGTATTAGTTGATTTCTGAGACTTTGTCCCTCGTACAGGATGTGAGCTAAATGAGGTATGGTGGAGTGTGTATATTTGGTAGTGGAATGTGCATAACGTGGTATACACTTGTTCGTGATCTTTCTTGGTGACTGACACTTGGAGTTTTGAGTGGATAGGTTGTTGATGATGTGATGAAGTGACGCCTGTTAGATGTTTGTGTACAATAGTTTCTCAATTATAAGGTTTGTGGGTACATCAGTAGTTCTATTGACAATTTTCAGAGATCTGCACAATTCAACCTAGAATTTTTTCGATACTCGTGGGAAGGATATATGGAAACGGTAGAGGAGAAAGAATAAGTAAGATGCGAGAGATTAGGCAACACAAGAGAAGAGGCTGAGTTATACCAGATACTCTCACCTTCCTATTACATTGAGTTAGCTGAAAAATTCTCTTAGAATTAGTAACATATGAGAGGACCAGAAGAGATTTGAAGGGAAACACAGAGATAAATTGCTCTTGATATGTTCTGCAATACACAGTCATCAACAGAACAGGAATCATCAAACTTTAGCAATTTACATAGTTTATATTCGTGTATGAAACTGAAGTTCATGGTTTAACATTTTGAAGAATTAGTCACAAAACCAATCAGAAAGACCCGTCGTTTAATAGTAGACGGAATCGTTCAGTTTGGAATAATGAATTGAAGAGGAGATAAGTATGAAAACTGTCAGTTCATTAGGATATATGATAAAGTTGATACAAGATGAAGTCGAAGTGTCATACAGAAAGGAAGTGAAAGTAAGCAGTGAGTTGATTCCTTATCGTCTGTTAACGATATGTTATTTCTTTTCAGAGAAATTGGAACACAGCCAGCTGATTATCCAAGAATAATTTTATGCACCAGTTAGTTTTTCCAGCTCAAGAGGTCTTCGGATAGACTTGGGGTTCCTGTAAAGATTGTACCACCTCATAGCTACTCAGTTGAAATTACTGAGTAGATTTACTGCGTAAATGTTTTGTTTGGTTGTTTGTAAAGACAAATATTGTGCTGTCGTATCATACAAATATGAAGCTCGGAAATCCAACTATCGAATGGTCTACAGGCCGAAAACTTAAGTTCTAGATAACTCACCAGTCGTAGATTAAGCCTACATGTTAACTGTAGCTCATTATATCAACACAAATGAAATATCATTGTGAAGTCGCAATATACAAAATTCGAAGTAACTTCTTTCAGGTCATGAAAATAAAACATACTTTGAGAAAAGTGAACCAGTTCACATTACCGCATTGCATAACAGAACGGGTACGAAAAATGAACACAAATCCAGGATGTTAGAATGCCTACCAAGGATATGATAATAACCAGGCCGATAACACTTTGGTTACTAGGTTTGAGTGTAAGTGGGAACAATATCACTTAATCGAGTGGTGCAGGTACACATCCAGCCAATGGGTCTGAAATAGGACGAGGCGTACATCGTGGATTTCACTACTAACCAGCAAGTAAATTTATAACATAATGGATATCCAGGCTATATAGAGCTATCCACAGAGAAGCCTAAATGAAATGAGAAATCTCAGTCATTACTTGATGGAAAACAGAACCACGAAGAATTCAGTGAAAATCTTCAAAGTAATAAAATGTACTTGTTATATCAGCTGAAAAGTGGAACGTGCGAATCTTAGGTAACTAGTGTCATTGATCGTGTGTTATTTTATGCATTCTAAAAGTCATTTTACCTCTGACTTAATTATTGGTAACATTAGTCTATAGGTCAGTTTAAGAGATTTCGATCGACGCCTCATCCATTTCTGTGTGATTTGTAGTTTAGGCGGAGTTGAGTGAAATCCATCACTGTGTGAGTTACAGGTTGTTTCATTTCTCAGATTAGTACTAACCATCGGATGACATCAGCTAGAGGTACACTGAGAACCCGGGAGCACTGAATAGCCAGCTGTATGCGACTCCTGAGCACTGTGCACCCACGACTCCACCGCGTCAGGGCTCGAATCCAGAACATTCAGGTTCCATGGCCAACAAGGTATAGTTGAGTCACTGGGTCGGAATCCATTGATCAATATTTCCATCTTCTGTCAGTTCACGACATAGCGCCTTCAGTGAGTAACTCTTCTCATGTTCGACTTTGTTCTCCCCACCGATCACAACTTCTCATAAGAACGTCGGGAATAACCTCCAGAACGTGTGTTACAAAGTAATTTAGTTATATACATACAGATGAATCAGATCACTTGAAGCGGAACATGAATATTAATCCCCAGACTTAGTGTTCCATTATTGTACATAGTTGTAGGAAAGAGTCGAATGGTGTAATTCATCATGTGAGCGAAACAGTATCGTATAACTGGATAATGTTTCTTACGCAATTTATTGTAAATGAAAACAAGATACATAAGTGAACAGAACTGTTTTCATTCATACAGTCTTCAGGCTTTACTCTACCATAATACAATAAATATATGGTCCATAGTAGTCATATCAAGATAGCTACACAACTTTGAGGCAAACGTCATATAATTCTATACTTCTCACCTCCTTTGTGATGCTAGTGGTAGGATTCTCGATGTATATGAAACAGGTGAGGAGACATTTCTGTTACTGCATGTGTTGAGTCTTGATTCGATCAACAACGATTCAGTTATTATTCTGTCACACCACCCCAATCGGTTAGTGTCAAGGGTTTTTACACCAAAAACATCCTATTATGTAATTGCATGTCGTCTCATACATAGCTGCGGCCGAGATTCATTCTAGACTTTTTATACTACTAGGATCCACCAGTTGCTATCCAGCTGAATATCTGAGTTCGTATAGTCAAACTAACACTGGCCGACAGATTTCGCACATGAACTTGACCTCACCATCGTTGCATACGATTCGATAAATTAAATTATTGTGCATAGTTGCATCAATGAAATCTTCGTACTCTATGAAGCTTATCTCTGAATGAATTTGAAAGTTTAAATGCCACTCTAATTGCTACCAGCGTTATTCAGAATTCTGAGAAATATCTCACAGGTGTCTTCAGAAACTGTGACATTTCTCTTCACACTATACCCAATAACACTAACACACACATTAACAACACTCTCCTCACAATTCATAAACAACTTGTCAATTAAATGGAGAGTGTAGTTGTTGATGAGTGAAGTGTCCTCAATATATCTGCTCACTTCTCTTACACCTTGTGTT